TGATTAAAAATACTTTATCCATGAAATACATTGCAAGTTATATAATGTAAGCAAAGGCATAGAAAGATATTCTCATGTTAAGAAATTGATTTCACAGGTCTTTCCACAGCACCAGCTAAGTATCCAAATGTAAGTACAGTTTGTTCTAAAAATAAAAAGGGTTGCAATAATACAAAGATGGGAGAAAAATGAACAGATGATCTCTGAGGCTGATTCTAACACCAAGATTTTGTAAAGAAAGGGAAGTAGGTAGGAAGGGGAAAAAAAAGAAAAAAAATACAGTAGCATATTGTTGTAACTTTGCCTATAACATAAAACCATCCCTTTGCCTACAGAACAAAGATCTCTTTGTCCTCACCTATGGAGCTTTGGTTGCCCAACTTTGTAAGGATTATGAAAAAGATGAAGATGTGAACAAATACTTAGATAAAATGTAAGTAGGCATCTTTTATTCTTTTAGAATGTTCGTTGTCTTAACATCACCTACATTTTTCCTGCCTCTGATGACTTGCTCCATTTCACCAGCTCTTCTTCTGTGTCAATGAATCATATTGGAAAGCTGAGTATAATTTCTTACACTTGCCATTTGGATTGATACCAGAAATTAATGGGAAGGAATTTTTTCTCCATGAATATCAAACGTGGAATGTTTGTTGTTAGAAATTATTTCTTCATTAGCCACTGTTGTGGCAAGACTAAAGTTGCTCTTTTAATAATGTGATAAAGCATCCAATTTGATCTTTTCAGTAGTCTTTTTTTCTAACATTGACTCCTTACAATGTAAATATTTACTTGCAGAAGCATAGACCATCTAAGGAAGCATATGCAAAAATGTTATTATAATTGCCTAAAAAGAAGACTGGGTGATAGGGAATTATGGGTTGAAGGGAGAATTTCTTTTTCCTGTATAACATTTCCATTGTTTGAATTTTTTTGCCCTTACTATAATTTATTTTAAAATATATTTTAAATATAAAACACACTTCTTAATAAGTCCATTCTCTTTTGTCTTTATTAGTAGAGATTCCTCATGCTCAAATTTCACCTTTTAATTCCCTCAGAATAATTATATGATCATCAGATTATTTCCAAACAATGAAATACCTGTCAACATCTTTTTAACCTCTTAATTGTGGGCTCTGAAAAGGACTGGAAAATATGCACTGGCTAGAAGATTTACTTAGGCAGATTGAAG